TGATAATATACACAAATAACCCATGAATGTTGATTATATATAATTTCCTTTAAAAAGTTTCAGTATATAATGAATACTATCTTTGTTTGCTTAAAATGGCTTCTTGTAAGTTAGATGTAGTTATTTGATTCCAGCTGAACAAAATGAAATAATTGTCTAATTTTATTTACAAGATTACTATTGGATACTTTGGGGAATCAACATTTTTCTTTAAAAGTGAGAATATGTTTTACTAATATTGTTTATTGAGTTTTTAAACCTAACAGTTTATGTACCTCTAGCTTTCTTTATTACTGTCTGTCTGTCTGTTCTTTCATTGAACAATTTAACATCTGACAGATCCCACAATATACCATAATTATGTTTTCCTCCCAGGCTCAGAAATAGGAGAGGGTCAAGAAATCCTTTTTTTTATTTAACATTTTACATCATTTAATATCAATGATATACAGAATCATCAACATTCTGTCTCTACATTACAACATTAAATATCCAGAAGAATCCATGATGTATTCCTAAAATTCTGGTTTTCTCTGACTGAATTTTTCTTCACTGTCTAATTCATAGAAAAACCATTACATTACTGATTATCTGTTCTTTTATTTCAGAGGATCACATCATAGATCTTTAAATTGTTTCCTGATTATCATCCAGTACTTGACATCCAATTAAAATACTGTTGTATGAATAGATTTTTGTGGTTATTGGTATGTTGAACAAACAATGTTGCATCACTAGCCTCAAGTGGTTTAGTATACATTTCATATAACCATCTTACATCCATTACAATTAATGCTCTATCTCCGATTATTCTTGGTTATCCATTTGTCATTTTCACACACCATTAGTAACTTATACAACCTATATTCTTGCCTTGAAGTTAAGAGGATACCAATTTTCCACTTATTTGTGGACTTTACATTCAAGTAAATTAATTATAAATTACACTGAGAGTTTGAGAAATAAAATAAAAAAGAAATGAGCCTAGAGTTTTAATTATTTAATCAGATAACCTTGTATTAAATAAAAGGAGTTTTGTAGTAACTGCTATTACTTTAAATTCATCACTACTGCTTTTTGGTTGGTTGGTTAAGAGTTTCAAAGAAAATGCTATGATCTCCCTCACTTCGTCATTCACTCAAAGAAATTATGACAGCCTGAAGTTGCAAGGTTGAATTATGCTAGAGAGTAATATTTTAATAGCGATAAAATTTCATGTTTAATTTCACTATTACTTTTTCTATAACAGGTCAAATTTATGAAAATTAAACCTAAATCACATGGATATGTTAAATTAAGCCTTTAGAATGGTTTGCTGGTCTTTCATGATTAATACAGAAGTCAAGCTACAAACTCAACATTCTTTCATGTTTTCTACTGTACCTCGAGGGAAAATCCAAAGAAACATGATTGGCTCATAAAATTAACAATATGCATGTTGGTAAAGAAATATAAAGTAAAATTTATATTGAAATAAACATGTAAAGATAAACAACACCATATTAATATGAAAATATTAAAAGTATGAAGTCACCATGTTTAAAAATGTTAGAATATATTAGTAAGAATTTATGTTGAAAGTTAGAGGAGGATAAGCACTTAAAATAAGTAAAACCAACCTTAGTCAAGATAATTTAATTAACAAATCATACTGAAACTTGATTTATATATTAGTTTTAAAAGATGATGTGAAAATGATAGGTTAAGAAAATATAAAAAATAAAATAGTAAGTTGTTCTTCCATCCTAATTGGGGCTATGATACATCATATGCAGAACAGGTTTTTTGTCTTTAATGGTATGCAAGGACATGCAAGAGGAGGTGGGAAAAGTACCTGCTGAGCATCACCAGTCACAAGATGGTATCCTCTACCCACTTCCAGAGGGCATCATCCTTTCATGAAGCACCAGTGCAGAGGGTAGATGTTGTCTAGGATAATCGAAGAAGTGTATGTAACATGCAAAAGTTTTGCCTGGACAAATCCATCCAAACACAGTGTCTCATATTAAAAAGGAGAGACAGAGTATACTTTTTTTTTTAAATCGAATGATTCTACAAATCCAGTGATAACTGGGTTACTATGATTCCATTTGGTTTGAAGAATCACAACCATAAGCAAATTAAATCCTGAAGCAAAAGAGATAGCAATATGATGCAGATAAAATTCTAAAATTATATTTGGATTCATCCACATGCCAGTCTGTTGGATATTCTCTAAAGCACTCAACCACTGGTTTATCACACCCATCTTGCCAGTCTGTGGAACTTCATGAAAACAAACAAACAAAAACGGACAAAATATTCTCATTTAAGTCAGAATGGTTTTTAGCTGTACTTGCATTTTTGTGATCCTCAACAACTTATGAAAGCATTGAGTTGGTTCCTAGCATCAAAAAAGTTGAGAAACACTGCTCTAAAGGGTATGGTGACCAGGATACCAAAGGCATTGTCAAATGGCAAGTTTGGAGGAATGTAATTCAAAATTCCCTTTTATGGTGTATAGGAACATCACAGTAAACATGACTGATGAATTGCACAACACAGTTTGTTAATGTTCCTCTACATGAAAATCAGAATCAGACAAGGAAGGTAACATAACAGGTGAGAAACAGTGGTTACCTTCTCTTGCAGCCTAACTTCTAGGTACGAAGGTTCGATGAGTATAAGTACAAGGCCTTTGAAAAATAAGGTACATGAGGCATTAATGGCATAGGTACTTGAATGTCTTCTGCCTAATGCAAGCAGTAAAAGAAAATATGATTTGTTGGAAGGATGACAGAGCTAAGAAGTCATTAAAGGTTCAAAATGTTGAGAAGCCAGAAACATAAGACTAAACCCAAGGCCCATTAACTCTACAAGTGGCTCTGTCCATTGGACCAACCTCCAAAACTGTGAACTTATACATACCAGAACTCTGAATTTACTAAAGTGTATCTTCACAACATTTGTCGATTTTATAGTAAACATTAAAAGTATATGGTTTACAAAAAAAACAACAGATGTTTTAATAAAGTATTCTGCCAAAGATATCTGTGAATTTCCAAAACCTTTATTGAGTAAGTTTTAGAAAAACTTCACTGAACTGTGATTTTCATGCTGAGAATAAAAATACTTCTTTTCATCTTACAGTTTCACATTTTGCTTGCATAACTTATTTTGTTAAAAAATATACATAAAAATATTGTAGTAATCACTGTTTTTGCACGTGATGCCATTCTTCCTAGGTTGTCCTAAAAATAATTCATGTAGTTTTCACGTATGCATTTTAGAACAAAAAAACAAACAAAAAATCAGTCACTAGAATAGTATGTTCTAAAAGAACTATAATAGGTTTAAAAACGAGTGTTAGCTGTAGGGGGCAAAAGAACAATGACCATACAACAACAAATTTCTATTGAGTGAAAATTCTTCCCATAAAAACTGAAAAAGTGGTAGCAAGTTTCATGTAGAGGAGAATCTGCTCTTTCTATTGGTTATAAACATGTCCAGCCATGTAAAGTTGATCAGCAAACAATTTCAAAGTCAAAGAAAGAGAAAGGCTTGTTTGGTGAGTTCAACAAATCTATTAATATCTTAGCAAATCAAGAAGTTAGGAGTTGCAAATTCGTCTTTGAAGTATTTATAGTTTGTGTTTCTAATCAGTTAGAAGTTGCAACAGTCTACTTTTGAAGATAGAAAATTTTGAAAAGAAGAAATTGGAGCTCAAACACTTCACGTGACATACAGAAATGTGCACTAAGAATTTATTAAAATGTTTCTTTTCAAAATTAAAAAGTTAATATAAAATTTTAAATTATAAACTACATTTTTAAGCCAAGTATATTGACTTACATTAATAATAATCAACTTTAACAAAATTTTGAAAGTAACAATACAAGAATGTACCACTCCTGTAAGCAATGGGTAAAGGAAAGTTATAATTTTCCTTCTCATTTTATGCTGCCCTCTATATGTAAAATTTTTCAGAAATGCATGCCACAAGCTTTCATCCTCCCATGTTGGAATACAAAGTTCTAACATGTCTCTCATGCAAATCATCATGCATCACCTCTC